AATAAGCTAATTATATGAATAATATTCCCATGGTTATGTTGGAACATAAACATTGTAGTTTATTTATTCTCCCATAAAAAATTATCCAATTTGCAAGCTCTTTGATTACTTTATGCATATAATTTCTTTAAAAAAATTTGACTGATTCGATCAATTCAACCAAAGTGCAGTCTCGTAAGCGCTTTCCATCCGTAACTGATTCCACACAACCATAATTTATCATAATTATCCAACAGTTTTCTGAGGTCCATGACTTTTCAGGAAAGTTCCCTGTGGACCTTTGCATCTAATAGGCCATTTTGATCTTTATACCCAAATTGACGAAAATGTGCCTTATTCTTGAGAGCTTAGTGAATAATCGTTTTTATTAACAAAAAACGACTGCTCTTAGTAACGAGCACTGTGTTAATATTATAATATGGGTACCAAGTTGAAAATTTAATTATGAAACATTATTAGCTATTCTACCTTGTCGAAAGAAATACTTGCTTTTGTGAGATCGAAGGTTGCACAAGGTTTTGCTACGGTAAAAAACAAGGAACTACAACGGGCTCAATGAAAAGTAGATTTAAAGTAGATCATTGACAGAATCATTTATTTATTTATATCAAATGGCAGGCGTTATGATAGTTATCATTAGCCCTTTAGTTGACTTCAGGCTTCACAGAGGGAAAGGAACATCAAAGTGAAAAAAAAGTCGAGAGAGGGGGGAGAGGAAGAGAAGAATGTTCCAAAGGTGTAAAATAGACAGACGCAAAGGCAGAGATAAGGTGAGGTGAGTACTATGGAAGTGGTAGAATGTGACATACAATGGGGTGTTGGTAGTTTGAAGTAAGAAGTCAACTGCCAATTAATAGACTTTTTCGCCGTATGAGCATACGTTGCCCAGGGTGCACCACGTGGAGGTAAGTCTATCGCGCACCCCCCATAATTTATCATAATTAATGGGTAATTAAATCGCCGCATTCTACACTTACACTGACGTTGCCTGGGCATTCATTTATCCGCAACTAAAGTCAATGCTAAACTGTGCTATAATCTAAAGTTGGGTATTTGAACTATACTATTGATCTGATTAAATCACTACTTTTTTCAAATTCAGTAAAGGAAACATGATCTCAGAAAGCTTAAAACTAAAGAATTGAAGGTGTGTAATTGAATAATCATGATGTCATTGAGCTTTCGAGTGTGCAACATTACTAAGGTTGACCAAGGGAATCTCTCATGCGTGAAAACATTCTCGAAAGTGCGGTCATGCTACCGATCGACTATCGAGCAGGGACGAACTTGCATACTAAGGTCTCCAAGTCAAAAATCAATATTCGTTCAGTGTAGCTTTAATAGAACCAAATTATTGAGCATTTCCAGTAGAATTTCTCCCTTCACCATACCTCCTGGTTTCTTGATACTTGGAGCGTGGCTTAGCCAACAATGTGGACTTGTATTGCAGTGGACATCAGTAGAGGCTGGTTGTACCTGTCTGGAGTTACGTGGACTTACGAGAGGAGTACTAAGGTTTAGACTAGGTCTAATTTGTGCAGCATCCCAGCAACTCTTCCAAAAAATAACTCAATTAGTTCTCATTTAGGATCAGACATATGGGATTCAATAAAACCTGAAAAAAAGTGTTTCTCAAACGCTTCGAAAATGTTTACTGCCTGCCTGTAATAATCCTTTTTATTCCCCCCCCCCCCTTTTTAATTAATACATGTAACGTTCATATCAACCCTATCACAAATATTGAGCATGCATTCAGAAATGCTTTCATTTTTAAACCATAATTATCCAGTAGAGTTGTCCAGTGCAAACACTCACTGAATGAAGGTCACTTACTCTGATTAGTTCCCTTACCTTCCTCCAGTAAACCCAATGTTTGTACTTTTAACTTTTTCCCAAATCACGAATTTCTTAAGGGGTGTCATTACTCATGGCGTACTTTATTTCACAAGTCTTGTCAATGCAATTTGTGCACCGAAGCCTCACTATCGATTGCGCAGTGAGCCATGTTCACCACCGCTGTAAATACAAACGGCGATTTAAATCAGCGCAAATACAATGAAGAGCGTATCTTATTGTGAAATTATTCTATTCGACTTTGAAGTGGGCTAAATCATTAATTCTTCCAACATTCCAAACCAACACGGTCATTCTACCTCGGAGTCACTATTGCCTTACAAAATGACGCCATTTAAATCATCTCTTTAGTTTACCTATATGCATTCCATGGCGTAGTTGAAGCAATTTTTAATCAGCCAAGAGCATTAAAATCCGAGGAACAGAAGAATTCTAAAAATACGGTTTGGGAACAAGCATTGAATACGATATGAGTATAGGGAAATTGGTCATGCAACGACTTCTTATATTTCGCGCTACGGGGTGTGCGATAGACTTACCTCCACGTGGTGCACCCTGGCCAACGTATACTCATACAGCAAAAATGTCTACAAACTGGCAGTTGAATCGACTTCAAACTACCATCACCCCACTGTATGTCATAGTCGATCACTTCAACAGTATTCACCTTACCTTTTTCTCTACCTTTGTGTCTGTCTGCCTCTTTTATATCCACAAATCATTCTTCTGTTCCCCCTCTCAGCATTTTGAGTCCTTGATGTTCCTCCTCCCCCCTATAAACCCCGAAGTTAGCTAAAGGATTAATGATCACTATCATAAAGCCTGCCATTTGATATAAACTCTTGCCCTCTCCAAAAGCCAAGAGTTTGAAAACCCAATCAGTAGCAAGCTGAATACGTTCTAAATTCAAATGCAAATATTCACGATTGAAANCGCCTGTATTCAATAGCTTAACCAAAATGTTTTTCTGTGAGCCCAGGGGTTAAATCCTGCCACCATAAGAGGTAGTGCGTCAATAACTTATTTATTTATTTATTTCAAATGGCAGGCGTTTTGATAGCTATCATTAGCCCTTTAATTGACTTCGGGCTTCACAGAGGGAAAGTTCATCAAAGTAGCAGAAAGTCGAGGGGTGGGGAACAGAAGAGCGATTCACAGATGTAAAAGAGGCAGACAGACACAAAGGCAGAGAAAAGGGTAAGGTGAGTACTGTGAAGCGGCCATGGTATTTTGAAGTCAGAAGTCAAAGTGTTTCAAAGATATAAAAGAGACAGACACAAAGGTAGAAATAAGGTGAGTACTGTGGAATTAGTCGAATATGAAATGCAGTGAGGTCTTGGTAGTTTGAAGTCAGAAGTCAACTGCCAGTTAATAGACTTTTTTGCCGTATGAGTATACGTTGCCCAGGGTGCACCACATGGAGGTAAGTCTATCGCACACCCCGTGCGTCAATAATAAGTCCCCTATTTTTTAATTATATTTTTGTTTAAAGTAGAATTTGGGCGATGAATATACAGCTTTCAAAGCTTTGAGTTCTGTAGTGTGAATTACGGAACCCATTCGTCTCTCTCCTCATTTTGAAATATCCGTGTGGATCTTGTCCTTGTAGCGTTAAGCTTGGGTAGTTTATTATGAATCATCAAGTTGTAGTTGATGAAATTTCGGTCAAATTTCAGTCTACTAATTTATTTGGTGTGTATATCACCCCCCCCCTCCCCTCCCCTCCCCTCATCTCTCAACAGCATGTCCATTTATAGCTCTTTGAGTACCACCTCGATAGACGAAAATTCAACTACACACACTCTTTTCACTCTCTCACGCTTCCCTTTTCTTCCCTTTTAATTGGCTCTTATTTACAATCATTGTGTGTCCCTAAGTCTTCAACTTTCAATTAAACTCTCTTATGACTTTGATTCAATTTCGCAGCTTCTTGTTTCGCGTGACATTTGCAGAATATATAAATTTTCTTAAAAGTTATACCTCTGTGTGAATTAATTCACTGCGGTCCGACACTGGAATATTAGATGTACATTTACTCAAATCCAGTTTATTTTTAGTCTTTACAATCATTCAAACATCTTACACACACCTTAAAGCGCAAAAAATGTTAACTTATGGGATTCGATTGTCCAAACCACTCTCCGACAGATAGTGTGTTTGCCCCTTGATTGCCAACTCTCTCGTCTCCTTTTGGACTGAATCTCTTTTCCCCTGTCCCTCTCTCTCTCTCTTCCATCCGTCAATTCTTTTTATCTCTTCGTTATTGCCCATCAAGCGCGCGATTGGCTTACTGGAAGACAACTGACACACTTGTTCTCTCGGTTTGTGGGAAGATCCTTTTTTATCTTGTAACTTACTGAGAGGAATAGCCTAGCATCACGCTGTTCCAAATAATGTGCATCAACTGGGCGTGGTTCATAAACTTTTGGTTTCTTTTCCCATTGGATCCCGCTTTCCAGTCCACAAAGAAAAATCAGTATTGTTATGTGCGTTTGTGTGCACCTGTGTTTAAATATTGTTGCCCTCTCTTCACGGGCTCTAAGCAAGAGGTGCACACAGTTCGGGGGGTATTATTGGTCAACAGCTGAATTTGATTTCAATCACACGAATCTGGGTTTCAAATGCTGGAGATTGGGACTTACTGCATCGGCTAGGGAAGTTTTACCTTTCTGATACTATGGACAACTCGATGGTCAATAGTTCGAATAAAATTGGACCCGGGGTGGTCTTGGTGGATTGATAACTTATTATCACTTAATACTTTACTTTTTCGCGCATTATTTTGCCTTGTTTAGAAGCATTTCATTGGACTCTCAATTCTTCCCTTCTGTCCTTGGTGGCTGTAATAGCAATAGAATTAAAATTATTCAAATAACATTAATCGATCTCTTCTGATTTCGCAGCACATTCTCTTTTGGTTTTAATCTGAGTTTGCTTCCATAGTTCCATTCTTCTGGAGCCAGTAAACATGCATTTCACCATTTACACTTTTTTCCGTGTACACCATTGTTCTTTTCTTTAAACATGAACGCTCTTTTATTATCGTTTCCACGTCACTCTCCATTGTTTGCTATAGTTCGTAAAGGGAGAACAAAATTGAGAATGCTTGGGACAGGCAGGCTTAGTACCTCCTTCTACTGCCAATAATGTTCACGTTTACCACTGCATTCAGCGCACCTAGCCCAACAGCAGAAGCAGCTGCTGCTGCTGCCGTCTTACATTGCGTCAGTGTCATCTGGCCCAATTACCTTACCCCCCCCCCTCTTTCCTCTGCCCTAGTCCTATTTTATGGGCCTTTGGCGTGCGTGCCAGTCGTATGGATGGAGGTGGGGTGGGGGGAGAGGCCTTTTCTGTGAGTGGGATTATCAAATTGATCAAGTCTAATCGAATCTCACAACGAGCATTCACATCCATTGTTTGAGTAACGGGTTTATTATCTTTTCGCTTCGAATGACAAAATTTCCTGATTTACTTCTGACTGCACTGGATTTAAGTTGAGAATAAGGTCTCCTTTCTACTCCTACTCGCTTTCACCGAACTTGTAATTAATTATTTGCGTGCAAAAACATGAATTGTCACCTCCCTGATGGGTTTTCTTGTCCTACCATCTCCCCGTTTACTTGAGGTGGACTTTCTCCCTCTTTGATCTATTCTTTGTCCTTTTCTCTGTGAGCCGAAACAAATACTATGCTTCATTAAGGCTTCATGATGTTAGTCAGAATGTCTTTAGTATTTAACCGTGTATCATAAAGCCTTGAACTACTTAAAACCCCCATAAACTACTTGTCCTAAGTGCAACTTAGATTTGAAGTCGGACGGGAATTTGAGCAAGTAAACTATCCCGGTAAAGTAGTTCTCGCTTTTTATATTTAAGTTCCTTTTTACCATTATGGGAGGTTTTTCCTCTTAGCTAAAGCACTTCCCCATTTCTCCACCTCTTTTTCATCTTCTTCCTTATCGATAACCGTGCAGCTTCCATCAATGATTGAGTGCCGTAGTTCCATCTCCGTACCATCCAATCTCATCCCTCCCGCATTACCACTGTTGCCCCTTAATCTTGTTAGTGAGGTAGAGATGCTTCTCCCTGTTTTTCGTTATGCTCACACAATACGATTTCTCTCTTTCTCGCCTCTAACCGCCAATGGGAGAAAAACTCGTTCATAAGCAGAGCGTATTCCCCCCCCCCCCCTAATGCTGCCTGTCCACTCCTAGCAGCGTAATGGACTTACAGTTTTTTTCTGCTCTAAGAGGTAGAGGAAGTTCGTGTTGTTACACCCATTTGATTAAGGAAATGATTAATTGAAGGAGAATGGCTGTGAGCTTAGCATATAACGTTAATATGAGCTAATTAGAAAAAAAAGTTATTAGACCGTAGGATGACTGGTAAGTAATTCCAAGGTGCATTTACTTGATGCAATTGAGTGCAAGGATAACGAGGGATCGTCATAGTAACATTTGCTCAGATCATTGGAACACCTGCCTCTCCAAACTGAAATTACAGAAAATTTAAGAAACCAAGCTTAGGTATCGAATCGAGTATCAATAAAATGCTATATTGTTTTCGCTCCTAAGTATTCAGAACTTTAGTTGTCAAAGAATTTGCGGAGTGCTTGAAATAACATATTTGCTAGGTATATTCAATTATCTAAATGATTAGTTAGGTTTTTTAGCTTAAATACCTCACTCCAACAGTATTATACTCTCGATTTTACAAATTTTCAGCTCACATTTATTCATCATCTCATTAGGATAATAAAAATAGTTATGTCCACCTGTTTATTTTCTTTATTATCCATTTGAAGAAATTGTCAATCTCCTCCCCCCTCCCATCACTTTCCTACTCATTTCCTCTCTAAATGTCATTGTCTGGTTTTTGCAGACTGGAAATCCTCTTGCCAACAGAGCTCTTATCGATCGCATCTGCTATGTCCTGGAGTCCCTCTATTTTCCTGTCCAAGCTGCTGGTGAGTGATCTCTCTAATTACCCCCTCCCCGCCCCCCCCCCCCCCCCCCCCCCCCTCCCTTTACCGTCGACAGCAAAGAAACCATTTTAAGCACACTGAAGTAACTAAATGCAAGCGAAGGTGGGGTAGTTCAAATATGAGAGTTGGGGATCGTATTGACGTAGGGAATAAATTATACTGTCATTGGATTTCTACTTAATCTATCTGTTATCGTGATTCGTTTATTAATGGTTATACAGGTATTTTTTTCTCCCAAGAATTTATATGCACAAGGACAGGGCGATTGTGCTTTTGTATTTATTTATTTATTTATATCAAATGGCAGGCGTCTTGATAGTTATCATTAGCCCTTTAGTTGACTTCAGGCTTCACAGAGGGGAAGGAACATCAAAGTGGAAAAAAAGTCTGGGGGGGGGGACACAGAAGAGTGATTCAAAGATGTAAAAGGGATAGACACAAATGTAGAAAAAAGGTGAGGTGAGTACCGCGAAAGTAATCGAATATGACACACTGGGGTGATGGTGGTTTGGAGTCAGAAGTCAACTGCTGGTTAATAGACTTTTTTGCCGTATGAGTATACGTTGCCCAGGGTGCACCACGTGGAGGTAAGTCTATCGCACACCCCCTTTTGTATAAAATAGGGATCCTGAAATAAACAAGTGGAACTTGAAGTTATCTCCCAACTCCCCAAGCCCTCTGTCTTTTAAGTAGATTCTCGCAGTGAATTTGACGTTACACTTGAGAATGACATTCTGACATATGACGCTTCAATCACCCATGTTTTTTTTGACTCAAAACAACGGAAACTTAGTATTGGTAGTGCTTGTTGACAGTGGTATTCGATGAGCAGTGCTATTGCCGATAGTGCAGCACATAGTTCTATTTTTTGTTTTCTAAGCATTCAATTACAACTGGCAGCTTCTCGAATCATCTTGAGCTTCCGAATTTTCTTTTAGCGATGAATATCGTCATTGTTGGCTGTTCTAGTCATGCGAAAATCAAAAAAAAATTTTGCTTTTGCGCCATAACTTGAAATCCCTTGCAAAAGGATTTATCTGCATATTATATGAAATATAACCCTCTGCTTCAGGGTCCTGCATAATCATTTTTATCATCATCAGGGATACTCGGATTGAAAGGAAATGAGAATTTGCAAAATCCACGTTCATTCTAGCAGAGCAGCAAAGTTGAAGTCATTATAACTCAATTAATGAGACCGCGCGTGCGCATCACCACTCCTTTGATTTTGTTAGCCAATTTCGCAAACGATAGCTATGAATATAGACCTTGCTATGCTATTCCCACTATCTAAAACTGTGCTTGTCTCGATTTCGTAAAAGTCAACCTACGTTTGTAATCGTTCACTTCTGTGTATCCTTTTATATTACGCCTAATATGTTGCACTAGGAGAGATTTACTCTTTGGGTTTAAATAAATTAAGTGCACTACAGCAGTGAAGAAGACGTTTAAATATTCAACAGTTCTGCCTGGTCGGGTGAATTTCATAATGAACAGCAACTGTAGTTGAAGAAATTCCCATTGGAATTATCCAGGTAGGAGAAATAACATCAAATAACAAAGAAATTCAAATTCCTTATGTATATGTATAAAATGGCAGGCGTTTTGATAGTTATCACAAATCCTTTAGTTGACTTCAGGCTTCACAGAAGGGAGGAGGAACATCAAAGGTCCAAAGGTGTGTGTTTTAGTGTTTTGTCTGTTTCGAGCATCGTCTTATGCAAACCCGAATCATAGTGGAGCATCCCTAGTTCTGCTTGCAGACGAGTCTGGATTGATTAAGTATTAAGAAGACACGGTTGATTGCGTGTTTCCTCGGTCTTAGTAACCGACATTTCTAGCACTTTTCCTCTAGTTACCTTTGGCGATGAATCCCTACTGGTTTGAGCACTGCTTAATATTTAGGCAAAGATACTGACTGTGCTTTAGAACTAACAAAAAGCAGAAATTATGCTTTATTTATTTCTTAAGTGCAAATAGCCTAATAAATTCGTAATGGATTCTTGAGGGAAATGTGCTTTCAATGCAATTAAGACTTCGTGGACAGATGTGAAAAGTGTAAATGGATGATCAAGACGACTAGCTATTAAGTGCAGTGATCTTTATACGCGCAAATAAATCAAACGCTCCGTGCAAAATTGCATTTATCTAACTATATAGATCACATTTTGCCCCCATTTGTAACGTAGAGGATTTCGTTAATTTAAATTACATTAGTGCATTTCGATTGTCTAGTCATTCTACTCCGCCAGATGATTTGTAATACTAACTCGATAGTGCCTTTTTTTGGAAATCTTAATAATTATCGCCTCCATTGCATCTAATAAACCCAATTATTCATTTGTGGTTTTAAATTCTATAAAGAAGCTGTTTTTTTCCTTTCAACTTACCGATTTCATTCGTTTTCCAATTTTCGACCCACCTCAACTTAAAACTTCAATAGCAAACACTCAGGAACACGCAATCTTCACGTGGTATTAATTTTTTTCATCCTCCTTTCACAGACCCAACCTCACATTCAGCTGTTTCCTTTTTACTAAGGATGTTTTTTTATCCTCTCTAGTAGAATTCTTCAATTCATCTACTATGCTAATGGATTTCATTAATCCGCGTTCGGGATTTAATTGAGAGTGAGAGAGATTTGATGGGTTATTCCCTAAATACTACTTAAAGTCACTTTATGCAGGATTCTTATTTGAACAGATTTTCCACTTTGGATTACAGCCACTATAATTCACCTCTCCACCCCCCCCCCCCCCCCCCCCCCCCCCCCTNTTCCCCCCCCCCCCCCCCCCCCCCCCCACCCCACCCCTCCTTTTTCCGAAGCCTACTTGCAGTTGAGCACTTACCCATTTACATTCGCCTCTACATTGCGATGCGCAAGCTAATTTCCCTGGACTCTAATTCTCTCTCAGCTCTTTCGTCCCCCCCCCCCCTCCCATTTCTTACTGCATTAATCATCTAAATCCCTTCAGGTGAATCAGGTTGTTACACAATTTCTAAGGCTCTCTTTGCGTGAGGTTGGACAGATGGCGGTGAGAGCTAGGGGAGGGGGTTGGGTACTGATGTCATTCCTGTCTTTCATAATTGAATTCCTTACATTCAGGCCGTTAGGAACGTTGATTAAGGCGGCTCCACCAAAATGATCGGACGTCAGTTTCATTGAAAAAAAGTGTATTCGATTTCGCAATAATTATGACTTCTTATAAAAGCTAATCTTCTATGTAGAATCGTATTTCCTATCAATTTGTTTTACTAAATGATTTTTGAACTTGCAGACCAAGATATGGGATTTTTGCCCACCTACATTTACCCTCATAGCTGCATGTTTTTATCTTCACAAAATTTTCGCGCTGTGCGAAAGTGTCTAGTTCGTTCATTTTTTTTCGAGGGTGTAAAGTTTAAATACCAGATGCGGAAATTTTCTGCTGCGCTGCCCCATCTCTCTCGTCCCCTCCCTCTCCCCCTCCTTCACCACATCCGTTTCCCCAACTGGTGAATAGCGCCCTCAGCGCCTGTTTAAGATGCATACAGACCCGACAAAAAAGCACAATCGGTTTCAGTTTAACTCATTTGCAATCAATCTTTTCCATCACCTGTTTACCTGCAATTTCTAGGGGGGGGGAGGGGGGTTTCTGTTCTCCACTAGAAGGAAAAACAAATAGACGAAGCAAAAATTTAAGTGGAAGAGATGATAACCAAATGGTTCGCTTTCTTCACTCAACAATTTGTTTTGGTGATCACTTCGAGTGATAGACTTGGACGTGGGGTGTATTGATTTCATTATAACTTAATAAGCGATAATTTGATTACGACTCAAATTATTCCAGTTCTGATTGGTGCGTCTCTCAGAACTGTAACTTATTTGCTTCTGTGTAGATGGTATTTTTAGCCTTTGGGGCAATCGACTGAAATTTCTGCCAAATATCATTTCAGAAAACTTGGCCTTGTTTTAGAGGCGGTTAGAGTTTGCCGTAGGCTTGGTTGAGAAACTCGAATTCCTCCACTAAATTTACTAGTCAGACTGAATAAGCGTGATTGAACATTCCGGTGAGCACTAAATCAATGGCCTCTAATTTCACAAATTACCTCGGTAGATCGTAGAGCATAGATTTGAACTTAGCTAGCTCAGATTTGTCCCATGGTGAAATAAAGCACAGTTCTCCTCCTCTCTCCTCCCCCCCCCCCTCCCCATAACTGCATTTTCGTGTCATTTATTAAAGTAAAATGTCTGCCTATTGAAATATCATTCGTATTCTTTTTTGGCCCAATTTAAAAGTTAAATATAGATGCGTGTCTGCCTCGTTTTTCTAGATGACAACAAAGAAGTACCTCAGTATCGAGTAAAGTTTATCTCTCAATGCCTTGATCTGCTTCCATTAAAAGTATGGCACTTTTGCCGCTTGAATTGAATGGTGGACCTAGCACTCGTGATAGAGAAATTAAGCATTTAATGCTTAGAAGTGTAAATAATATTGATGGTTGGGGTGGGTGGGGGGTACAATGATCGGAAAGTGGATAATGCTTTATTGATCAAGTCCGCATTATTCTTTGCCTCACTCTTGTTAGTTTGCCTGTGGTGCCGTGGTAAACGTGCCAGTCTTGGAAGCCAACGATTATGGTTTAATTTCCACTGATTCGTGCGAAGTGAGTGGAATGGTGGATCGCAATGATTGTTAAGACACCCAATGAAGAAAACATTTATTTATTCATATCAAATAGCAGGCTTTATGATAGTTATCATTAGCCCTTTAATTGACTTTGGGCTTTACAGAGGGGAAGAGGGGGGGGGGGGAGCAGAAGAGTGATTCATAGATGTAAAAGTGAAAGGATAAGATGAGTGCTGAGAAAGTGATCGAATATGACATAAATTCGGATCATGGTGGTCGGAAGTCAGCTTCTGGTTTATAGACTCTTGCCTTATGAGTTTACGTCGCCCATGATGCACCACATGGGGGGGAGTCTATCTCGCATCCTTGACCGCTTATCGTAGCTTTAGTCGTTTTCGCGCATTCACACTATTATGGAGTTTCCCCAATGCAGTGGTTTAAGTGTTGGCCATGTCTGAGTTCCTGGGGTTTTCAATGTCTCCCGATATAATCCCAGTGAGCGCTCTATTAAGAATTATTTTTTTGGTTTTTTTGCATCAATAATTTTTGTGTTTTGTAGTTCTCTACTTTTCTTTGCTCTTGGTTTGAGTTTACCATTTTTCTTTTCCTGTGAACTTGGTCCGGAAGTTAGCACGATTTGGCTTTGTAAATTCTTTCCTTTGACATTCGTTCATTCTTTTCTCCCGTCCACGAATAAACCAAATATTTCCAGGTATCTGCCTTTTATCAAGCAGGTAACTGTGCAAATCTTGCTTCATTTTCTTGAATTCATTGCTTAACTTAATTACACACACATACACACACCGGCCATGACTTATGCGCTTTAATTTGCTTTCGTTGGATTTGCTTTTCGCTTGCATTCAGCTGAATTCTTTTATCTCGATTTACAGTAGCCAAACAACAGATATACTTCGCTTCGTTTCTCTTACCCGTTCTTTGCTTTTATGTCATTTATTTCGCCGAATATAGTCACCGAGCATATTGCGCAGGTACAACCGTTATCTCTTAACTACAATTTAGAACCTTAAAACATAGTTCAAATAGACTTCGAACGCTCTGATTTTTGTAAAGCTCTAAGTCCGGTTGTCGAAATCTAACCACCCAGAAGTAGAGGAAGTGGCCTCTTCTTAGAAGGTAATAGCGAGGATCTGGGGTTCAGAATCGTCAGGTTGTCTTCCTTTCTATCTTAAGTCATTCATATCAAATGGCAGGCGTTTTGATAGTTATCATTAGCCTTGGAGCTGACTTCGGGCTCCTCAGAGAGGAGGAGGAACATAAAAGTGACAAAAAGTCGAGAGTGGGGGGGGGGGGCAGAATAATGATCCACAGGTGTAACAGAGATTGACAGGCAGAGAAAATGTTAGGTGAGCACAGTGGACGAAGTCGAATATGACATACAGTGGGGTGATGGTAGTTTGAGGTCAGGAGTCAGCTGTCTGTTNCCCCCCCCTTTCTAACTTAAATAAAATCCAGGAGATAGGTTTTTTATACAATTTGGTTATCGTCTGCCATTGAAAGAAGTCTCGCATTTGGCCTCGTTGGCGTTCAAGTAACCTATATCTTCCTATTCTCCTTCGTTTGCAAAGTTGATGGCAGTTCCTCGTTTTTCTATTGGCTATTCTAATTGAAATAAGGTGTGTGTTCAACTTGGAGCTGAAATTAGGCAATACTTTAAAAGGACATTTATTAGTACTTATCAAACTTTTTGGGTGGCTCCAATCGCGCGACTCGTTTATTCAAAAGGTAGCTTACTCTAGCGCTTTCTTACTTTCTCTTAACAGCCCTGGAATTACTTCGAACGTTGATGTCCTGCGACATCGCCGATGACATTTTAAAGGCTCTTGTTGAACTCCTTCATCCTCAGCGTGAAATTGAATTGAGTAAGCTTTTCAAGGAATCAACGACGGTCTTGCCAAGAAGAATCAGCAATGCCACTAATAGTGATGAAGAGGAGGAAGATCAACCAATTTCAAGCTCAACTGATCACCATCGTCGTGATGGTGAGTTTTCACTTTTCTCAAAAAATATAGCTGTTACTCTTTTCCTTTGCATAATGCTGGAATCTTAATTTGCATACTTAATGTATGCCTTGTGGGAATTAAGCCATGTTCGAATTGTTCCATTATTTATTATTATTTTGGCTCTGTGCTTGTTTATAGCTGTTTTGTTTGCTTGATGCAAAATGCTGTGCGGTTGTTTAATATGTAACATCATTTCATAATTCAAAGCTCCTGAATGTCATAATTCATTTCAACTATAATTCTGCGCACTTATTTGGATTTTATTATCTATGTCCTGCTTAGCGTTCATGCTTGTTCACTTTGCACACTTTGGTAGAGGAAGTCAAGCTCCACTCTCTTAGCGTTCTGTTTCCTTTCCTGACATTCCTCTTATGTGTAATTTCCTTCGTTAATTTTTTAAGCATTTTTTGTTTTTTAATTTGACCTTTATTAAAATCTAACCAATTCGGTTTATATCACGAAGTTTTTATTGAAGTGCTATTAATTGATTACAACAAAAGTTACTTATCCGGCGGGCAGGCGCTGGGCATTTCAGATGAGAAATCGTTCAATGATCAGGAGAACAAATTATTTATTTATTTCGAACGGCAGGCGTCTTGATGGTTATCATTAGCCCTTTAGCTGACTTCGGGTTTCAGAGGGAGGAGGAGGAACATCAAAGTGGGAAAAAAATGGGGGGGGGGGGGAGGGGACAGAATAATGATTCACAGACGTAAAAGAGACAGACAGACACAAAAGGTAAGATGAGTAATGTGAAATCGTGGAATATGACATATTGTGTGGTCATGGTAGCTTGAAGTCAAAAGTCGACTGCCAGTGGGGTCATGGTAGTTTGAAGTCAGAAGTCAACTGCCGGTTTTGGGGTGATGGCAATTTGAAGTCAAAAGTCGACTGCCAGTGGATAGACTTTTTTGCCGTATGAGAATACGTTGCCCAGGGTGCTCCACGTGGAGGTAAGTCTATCGCACACCCCATAGAAGAACAAATTATGAAATCTTGATATAGTGCTATAGACAGATTAAGTGAGCAAATATTTTTGAAAGGAAAATAAAATATCAAGATTATTTTGACATTCCGAGTTAGTTCTTAACATCTCGTTGTTTCCTTCCTTTCGTGTCCCCTATAATTCATCACCTCACTTTACTTGCCTTCCCTCGGTAAAGAATTGTGACAGCTTTTTTGCTTTTCTCGTGTTTTAATGTGATATAAGTAGCGCGGTGAAATTGCAAGACTGAGTTCATCCTCGATGAATGAAGAGCGAGAGGTTAATTCGTTAAACAATCCCATATCTGGTCTACAGACTTTATTAAATATGTACCAACATTGTTAGGCCCTTGTCTACAATTTAAAGATTATTCCTTCTTCTAAATAGGGGGGGGGGGGGGGGGTTGGAGTTAGATGAGATGATTAGCTAAAAGTACCCTAAGCCGAAGAGCATTCATTCCCTATCTTTGTTCATTTTCTTTATCCTTATTTCACTTCAAGCCATACTAGACAGACGAATTTTCCAAAAGCTTAATTCCCTTTCGCAAACAAAAAGTTGTAGTTCCTCTTTTCTATTTCTCTTCCTCCGTTTTTTTTGCTATTTTTAATTAATAGTAGTGTCACTTGTTGCTAATTGTACTTGGCAGCAACAGGCTTCCTTTTTGTGCTAATTAGCCAACGTGTCCTTTTAGGTCTTCCCTAATTCTCTAGCCTTAAATGATTGACAGAAGTGTGGGTTTTGCAAAGAAAAGAAGGTGAAATCGTTAACCGCTTTTTAGCCACTATATAGTATTCATTTCTACAAACCGCTCATTGATTAAAGCCATTTGTCAAGCCCACGTCCTCATTAAAGACCTATGCCATACCTGTCTCACTCCCCTTTGTGTTTTAAAATTAAAGCACCCATACCATATTCACATTTTCCTTTCTGTATTATTTGTGACGGAATTCGTAGCCGCTGGATTAGTGGCATTTGCAGAGCCCCCGCGTCAGTTGCCTCTTTTTACCATTTTCGTATTTTGCTTATTTCCGAGAAATCGACCGCAACGACAATCACTCAAGTTTATTTGCTGAGGACCACTTGAGAAGTCACACTTGACTAACTTTCCCCGTCTTCTCAATCTCTCACTCTGCTTTCTTCCCTTCTATCGCTTCCACTTCTTACCCTGAAATCGCATTACTTAAGTTAGCAATTGCTCGACTATAGCCCATTCCTTAGTTTTGTTGTGCATAAGGATTCAGAGCAATATTATTAATCCTTAGGCTCATTGAGGCAAGTATTTTCTAACACTCATTTTGACAAATATAATGTTCTATCGGTTTGGGAACTTTGTATCCTATCATCTTCTTGCCTAGTGTTTTTGATATTGACCACTGGATGAGCTTCGATGTTTGATAGATTTAGTTCGAGATTGCGTGCTCTTTCCTCTAAAAACGTTGTCTTACCGGAGTTGCAAATAGAACTAAATCCCCCCCCCCCC